TCTACTGCCTAACTTTGAGCCCTTGGGCAATTGAGGTTCAATCGTTCAGTTGAGGATTTTAGCCACCAGAGTCCCTCCCTTCCCCATGAGTTGGTGACAGGATTGGTGTGTGTGTGGTGGGGGCGGGGGGGGGGGGGGTAGGAGGGGTGCATCCATGATGGATGCACAGTTTCCACTAGCTAAGTGGACTTGCTTGCTGCACACTTGCCCCCACCCAGTTTCTCCACTAAGAGGCATTTTGTTCCCCAGCAGAGAGGACTGTAGAACTGTCAGTTGAGCTTTAAAAGATTTCTCATACAGGGGTCCTGTGAACTGTAATCTGGTAGCCCCCCAATACTGCGACGCCTTCCCTCCATCTCCCCCACCTCACGACTCTCTACCATCCACTTTCCCAAAATAGTTGGACCAGATATGTATACTGCTCCCTCCACCCCCCATCCCCGCGAGGTCTTTCCCCGTGGAAGCCAGTGAAATGTGTCATTGTTACCCAAGTGTTCTTCGTCTCCTTCCAGAACATGGGTTGCTCTCTGTTTGTAAGAAGGTAGAAGGAAGCACATGGCTGTTGAATCCAGGGGCGATCAGAGGTTTTGAGCTGCAGCACAATAGAAGGATTCCTGGTGCAAAGAGATCGAAGCAAAATGCAGGACAAACTCTGTCCAAGTCGCTCGCATGCCTGAGCTCTTATATTCGGGACACCCAAGCAGAATTAGCTCGATCCAGCTCTTCTGTTTCGGAGACCTGGATTTTCCTTTATCCCTGTCTTTGCAGGGAAGTGTCTGTGCTGTGAAAAGGATAATTCTGAAAGATAGTCATAGTTTTGAGCCTGTCTCCACCGGAGAAAGGAGCTTTGGGAACTGGAGGAGTAAACCACTCAGGCGATAGTTTCCTTGAGAGTTAAGAAAAGAAAAAGGAAAAAAAAATGCCAACAGCTCTCCCCCCTAGCATCTCCACCTTTCCCACCAAAGGAATGTTTCCTGGTAGGTTGGTCCTTCTTCCTTCTGTTTCTTATTTTGACAATTTATCTTGATCCCTCCACTTCTTTTCTCTCTGCTTACACACACACACACACACACACACACACACACACACTCTTTAGTCTGGGCTTCCTAGTGCTCACGCCTGACCCCGTGCTAAGCGCATCCCCCTTCCTCTTGGAGCTCATTTTCGTGACGTGGAAAGCTGGTTCCAGGTTCCAGCACATATTGAAGGGGTGGGGAGCCAACGAGAGAGAAGTGTGAGGTTCAGCACTGTGACTGAGCCTGCCTTCCCCCCCTGCCTTCCTCCCAGTGCCCGATTCAGTGATGAGCTGCTGGTACCCAGAGAAAGCAGCCTCTGCAGCAGCGGCGGCAGCAACAGCGAAGCTGGAAGCCTGCAGCAGCCCCTTCTCCTCCCTCCTCCACTGAGTGTGCCAAGTGGCAGTTCTGCATCCAAAAGGAGCCCATTGAAAGGCCCATTGCATTCCCAGCACGTCTCCAGCTGGCTGCCTTTGCCTTTTTTTTTTTTATCTTAGTCTATCCCCCACCCCATCTATACCCCTTTGCTTCAGCTTCAGCAAAAGGAAGGGAGAGGGAGAGAGAGAATCCTTAAACTCAAGCCTTTC